TTGGTTTATGGTTTCAGGTACTTCAGTGGATCGTGTCAAGGTGAAGGCGTGACCATACACATTCTCGCGTTTTTGGCCTTATGATTTATGGAAAACTATGATAACATGAATGTTTTGAAAACTATGTCGAAAGCGATTCTGATTTTAAATAATATTTTGGGAACAATGGTTTTTGTAAACACTTCTTTGGAAAAAAGGTTGTTTGAAAGGTTTAAAATTGTTGAAATTTTTGTGATGTTACACACACACTTACAACCCTTTATCTCAATGCTCTGCCTTAGACTTATTCTCCATTGGTTTTAGTCTTCGATGAAGCCCTGCGACCCCTGAAGTAGCATTAGATATCAAGTAGAAGCTCTGTCAATCCAATTACCAGACTTCTGTCAAGAAAATCTCTGTAAATTAAGCTACAATCTAGTCTTTTCAGTGTAACTTATATTTATAGTCATAAGTCGTTATTATGAACCTATAAATAATATTTATCAGTAATTCCATGTTATTATACTGATTGATCTACTTACGGGAGAGGTGTCTAGAATGGTCACGTTGGCTTGGTTGTTGGATTTCAGGAAGGTTATATGCCGAAATGGTCCTGCCTCCCAACTGTCCTATCTGCTTGATACTTACTTGATAGATCTTGATGTAGACATTGAGATTAGTGAGGAATCTAGACTATAATTATTATAGTCACCAGGATTACGAAACTAGACTAAGACTTAGTACTTTATACGTCTAGGTCTTTTCAAAGTACGAAGCGAAGCACTACCGAAATCGTAAGTCATCCACTTTTATCAAGTGAGTACATAGTGATTTTCATCTTATACATAGACATGAAGTATCTAATTAATTAATTGTTATATGTGCTTATGTGCAAAGATGTTATGTATTAGATGAAATGTTACAAAGATAAGTTATATGATTTATGTATTTTATAAATATAATACATTGGGTAACTAAGGTTAGTAATAGATGCCATAGTATAATGAAAGATGTAGGCAATGATAGAATTCCACAACTGTAGAAATGGTACTAGTGTGCCAACGATGTAGGAATGATACTAGTGTACCAATGACGTAGTCACATAACGAAGTATGGGTGGCAACCACCAGACTATTCATGACCATTCGTGGAACACTGGCAGCGATGGACTTTGTGCCAATTAGACGAAGTCAAGAAGCGATGGACTTCATTCCTATTTGATGAGCTAAGGCAGCGATGGACTTTGTGTCTAATAGATAGACTCAGACAGTGATGGACTTCATGCCTAATAGATAGACTCAGGCAGTGATAGACTTCATGCTTATTTGATGAACATAGATAGTGATGGACTTCATACTTATTTGACAGTCTCGTGGAACTTAGGCATCAATGGACTTAATGTCTATTCCTCAGGACAACCCTTAGCAATAAATATAGAAAGGAAACTTGATGACATGTATTGCGGAGAAATCCCTGTAATAATATTGTCAGCAATGATGACTAAGATAACCCTTAGGATAGATTATTAAGGGAAGAATAAATAAGAAAAAGGGGGTGGATAATCGGATTAATTGTTTGATAATTAAACATATTAATTATATTACTGTGGGTTGAAAACCCCTATGTACTCACTAGGTTCCCAACCCGACTCACTCAGCTTCTTTGTATCACAGGTAGCAGTACAAAGTTACATGCATGATGAGAGGTTCAATGAGATGTAGAATATTAGTCTAAGATACTTTAAGATCCGTTTATGTTTATGTTTTGTATCAGTTATGACATCCCAGGATTTTATAAATTAATGAAAAACATTTCTTCAGAAATACTTTTACGGGACCAAATTCCGCAATTATAAATAAACTCCGTTTTAAATAAAGCATAAACAAAAGTTTTAAAATAGACGTAAAAATGGGGATATCACACAAAAACAAGTTTTCGGTTTGTTTTCCATATTCGAGTTTGTTTTTCGTTTGTTCATATTCAAGTTATGAGTTTTTTTTATTTTTTTATTTTTTATTTATGTTTCAAATGCAACTTCGATTTTTCAATTCAGTGTGTGTATATGAGACTACCCACACGATGAGCACAATTGAACTTGAAAAAGCTTAAACAATGGAAATTTGATATGGGTTTCGATTTATTAGACCCACGATGCACAAACGATTTTATAAATGGAGTTGAGTTAAGATTGTTTGTGTTATTTCAAAGGATTCTCAGGTTTATTCTTCCGTAAAAAGAACTTCGTCCAAAATTCATATTTGTCCAGAGAAGATCGCGGAAAAATTCTTGTTTGCCAGAAAATACGACGGAAACCGAAAAAACCCACTATACCGGTCATAATGATATGTTTTAAACAAAAAAACAAGTTTAATGGTTAACAGTACACAAAAAAAAATTAAACGAACAAATATGTATGAAGGGTATAGTTGGTTATCTTTTCAATTTATTAGCCCAAAAAAAATTAATATACAAACTCCGGACTCAAATTCCGGATTTATGATAGGAAAAAAAAAACTGAAATTTTTTATACAAAATTAAAGGAATATAAAATTAATGCTACCTTATTTTGTGAACAAATGATAAATAAAAGTGAAGAAAATAGAAAACCCACGTAGGATAAGCCACGTAACAAAACGGCATGGCAAGATGAATTGCAGCACACGCGGATCCAAGCCAAACTTACGTAACCCCGCCCACAAACACACGCTCTCAGGGCGCATGCACGAGCCTTTATTATTGTCAATATAAATCCCCCACCTTTTACATATATCATTGAAAACTTGCAAAATATATAACAATTATTGTGTTTCAACAAAATATGTAATATCTTATTAGATATATGTCTACCATTTTACATTTAAATAATATTATTATATAGTGTAACCCATATCGTATATTTATAAGTTATGACTTTCAACGGATTCAAATTTAAAATTTTATATTTCAATAATTAATAAGTTCATAATCTCATTATACTTCTTCCTATATATTATACTAATAAAAGTGTAGTTTTTTTGTAATGTGTCATTCTATTAGGTCTACTAATTAATGTCATGCGATCAGGGGCTGACGCAGAAATACATAGTAGGTGTTGCCGAGGTTGAAAAATATGTTGCCGATGTAGAAAATATATGTAAAAAATCAAAAAAAGCGAAAAAAAATTTACTGCGTACAACAAAAAGTAGATGTTGCCGGTGCCACAACCGAGACACCAAACAAAACCTCCACATGCATGTCACTTTTCATTTCAAATTTCAAATTTCTCACTCTAATTCCATTAAATTAATAAAATTATAAGAAAAAATAAAATAAAATTAATACAAATTATAAGATGATACAACATATTTATTTGAATCAACGATTATAATTTTATATAACTAAATCTTTTAATTAATAAAAATGTAATGATTTATAATCAGATTATGTTTATTGACAAATCAAATCCACTCATTTTTCTAACTACGAACATCATCTCTTATCGACATATAAAAATATAATGATTTATAATCGGCCTATTATTTTTAAAATTATAAAAAATATAAAAAGTTATTCATAACAAACAAAACTAATCTTTTATCAATTTCATTATTTCAATTTTTTAAATCAACTAAACTTTTTTTTCTTTGAGTTATTTTTAAATAAAACTTAAAAAACACTAACAGATAAAAGATTTATGCCGAATATTTCCTTTGCAAACCACACAATGAGGTTTTGATGAATAACAAACCTAACAACACATGTCCTAGATTTGTTTGATTGTTTCCCTCCTTGTGATCTATAGGAAGGAAATATGGGACCAAAACCTCTATCGATCTCTAATTCTACAACAAAATTATTTGGAACCAAAACCTAAATAGAACCCTAAATAGATTTCTAAGTCAGCCTAGATCTCAGAATCAACAATTCGAGTCGATTTGAATATTTCATAGATGGTTTTATGAATTTTTCCATACATAATTATTTTGTATTTTCTTTAAAACGATTTGAATCAATTCATTGATTTTATTTATGCATGAGAATTTTTTTGAATTTACAATTTAGTTTTTTTCATAAATATTAGATAACTATTGAGAAAAAACATTTGAGAAAAAAACTCATTTAGGTTTAAAAAATAAGTTTTTTTTTTTTTTTTTTTTTTTTAATTTCAGTTAGTTTTAAAAAACAAATAATTTTGTTCTTTGAGACTGCATATATTTAGTTCACCTCCTCCTCTATAGATGTCAGTAGATATGATTCGCAAACTGTAATCCTTTTACTTAAAGAAAAAAACAAAAACCTAAATAACCTATGATGATCGAATTTGACATAAATCCTTAAAAAATCCATAAAACTTTGAATAATTTAAAATAGTTGCGTAAATTAATATTTACCTTCATAAATTAATTTCATGACAACATATCATTATTTATACTTGCAAAACACAATCATTTAGACAGTAAAACTATATTTTTCACGTAAAAACTTATTTCATATGAATACATGGTCAAATTGAAAAACTAGCAACATACTTTTTGGACTTTTGGATATGTTCATTATATCATGTTATTTTCATTTCTTATGACCGTAACATTGATTTTAAAAGAATTTGAACACAAACAATTTTTATTGTTATAATAGAATGCAAACACAAACTGTTTTCATTGTTATAATTTAATAAAATTTCAAACTATAATTTCTTAATAAACAAAATTAAAAATACAATTTTATAATTAAATAAATTTCAAAATATAATAACTTAATATAAGATGCAAATTGTTTTGAATTAGCCACGGCCATATTGTATAAATAGCATCTCTTCTGGTCCCAAGAACAATCACTACCTTCCTTGCTTCATCAAACATCCAACCCCCGAGTGAAGAATTAATCAGCCCATCATTTTGGAACCAAAAGTCAAAAAATTCGTTATTGTCAAACCCTCAATCGCCACCTGCTATAAATTATTTTGAAATTTAAATTTACAAACAGGTTACTCAATCCGTCAATCGTCGTTTGATTTTGCACCACCATCGACGGCGGAAAGGATGGCGTGTTTGGGGATTCGTCACAGCGTAGTTGGAGATTGCATGATCCGGAAGCGTGGTGGTGGTTATACAGATGAACGATCGAATCGTCTTTCCGGATTCACACAGCTCTCAATCCCCAATCTCGCCGTTAAACTTCCTAATCATAGAGTCTCTACAGCGGTTTACGCTACGTTAGCGTGTGATTCCGGTCATCGGTCGACTTTGTCTTTATTTGATGACAGTTTAGATTTACGAACAGAACCATTTGGTGGTAGTGATGATAATGAGGATCACGATCGTACATGTATTGAGAGCCCTAGGGTTTCGGAGAAGCTCGATGAATGGATGCGGATTTCGGTAACGGAAATCGTTAAGAACATAAAACAAGCGCCGTTGCTGGTTCAGATCTACGCCGATGGCGAGGTGGAGATGAAGAAATCGCCGGCGGCGAAGGACTGGCGGAATGTAGTTAAACACAGATCGTCGTCACTTGAGGGAGTTATACTGGTGGAGGAGCTCAATGAGAACACTGATCCGGTGGATTCCGACGTAAAGTTCGAGGAAGAAGACGGAACTAGGGCTTTTGGTGTGCTGATTCAAGGAAAAATTAAAGGTTTAGATCAATGTAAGTCTACGTGTTACTTGTTGAAGACAAGCAGCGTTAATGGCGGAGGAATGGGGCATTTTTGCACCCATTTTTGCTTGATGAAGGTTCAGAGCTTCCATGAAAATGCTTTTTCGCAGTTCAATAATTGCTGGTTATTGAGGTGAAATTGAATTAATTTGGAAGGTTGTAAAGGGTAAATAATTCGTTGTAATATTGTTTGAGTAATTATAAATTGAGAATTGATGGAATTAATGTGTAAATGATTCATTGGAATTGTTGTTGATCCAACATCCTAAGGTTAAATTTTCCCTAACTTTCAAAAAATGGCCAAAAGATGGAAAAAATAAATAAATAAATACCCGGCAATTTTAGCACTTGATCGCTTGCTTTTGGAGTATGTTTTTGTGTTTGACTTTTAATTTTCAAAATTCTTTCATACAAATACAAATTTTGTTTGATATAATTTTTTTAAATTGTTTTCTTTAGGGAGGAGGGAGTCATTCCCTCACAACTCACTATCACATCACTTTTTCTTTTTTCTTTGGGTAAATTACATCAATCGACCCTTGTGCACATGTCAAAAAACGTGTTTAGTCCCTATTTTCAAAAATTAACTCGGACAGTCCCTGGTTTAGTTAAAAGTTGCACATGACATCCCTCGTTAGTTTTTATTTGCACGTTTAATCCCTTACAAGACATGAAATG